GACTCGGGATAACCTAAAGATGAAAATTTTGTTAGTAGCTAGGTTCATGCAATGATAACCACTGAATGATTCGGGATAACCTAAGAATACACAAGGAGCTGACTGAAAATTCTACTTATGACGATTATAAGAATGCAAAAACGGGTAACACAATAAGCCAAAGACTCTAAGAAACGAATAACAGGATAGATGAGATCGATGAAGTTTATAGTGTGGATTGACATTGCCCAAGACAGTAGTAGCAAATCTATTGATAATATAAACTGTAATTTCAAACGCATATTTCTAGAATCGAGAAGGAACCGACACTTGAACCATCAAAGCGAGGCCCGTTTCAATGATATGACGATGAAAGCGCTCAACACGACCATTCTACTCATGTGTGTAGGCACAAGATTGAAAATGAACAATTCCTAACTTAGAAAAAGATAAATGTAATTTCTTGTACTCACTCCCAAATCATATTCAATGGATTTAGCCTTGCACGAAAATGAATGTTCAACCATGACATGAAAATGATCTAAAACAACATACGAATTAGATTTAAGACGCATAGGATAATACCAAGTAAAATGAGAGTAATCATCCACAAAGGTAACAAAGTAACGATAACCACTTGAAGATAGGAAATGCGCATGACCTTAAGTATCAGTATAGATCAAGTCAAGAACACGAGAACTAAACGAAATAATACGTGAAAGGGAAAATGAGATGATTTTCCCAATTGAAAAACAGAATAAATAGACGAACTAGTACTAACATTAGACGAAACAACTAGACAAGATTTTAAAATACGACTCAAAACACAATGATGAGGATGACCCAAATAGTTGTGCCAAGCTAAGGGAAATGCACACAAAAGTGTGCAAATAGCAACGCATCAGGACCAGAATATGACATAGGTAGCGAATAGAGCCACCCCCCCCCCCCCCCCCCCCGGAAATGTTCCCTTTAAATAAGACCACCTTGGTTTTGAGATCCTTCATAAGAAAAAAAAATTTCATGTGAAACTCAAAAAAAAAAAAAAAACACTATTATAAGTAGAAAATAGTTGAATAGACAACAAAGAAGCATAAAGACCAGGAACATGTAACACATCAGACAATTTAAATGACCTAGATGGAGTAGAAATTGAAGCATGACCGACACTAGCAATAGGTAAACCTAAATCGTTACCAACACGCAAAGTGTTAGAATCAGTGTAGCTCAAAGAAGCAACAATGCAGAAATATTCGGTGTGGCATGATTCGTAGCACTAGTATCTGGAAACCAATTATGTGATCCCACCGAGGCAATATCATCACCACTCGAGTATGTCATATGAGCCGGCAATCCGGGATTTTCAGTATACCTACGATAACACGATATAACGTTATGCCCCTATTGCAAATTTGATTTCGTGGAGCTTAAGGACGAGAACGTTGTCCCTGACCGCGACTGCCATGCTGCGAGGAAGAAAAAACCACCACCACCAACTCCAACAACGAGATCATCTGTACAAATAAATTCTTGAGCAACCAAGAAATAAAAAAGTTCAGCGTGAAGGATCGGCTCGCCCTTCGTTGTTAGCATCACCACCAACGAGCAAAACTCTGAGCGAATACCCTAGACGACATAAAAATTCTAATCATCCAAAGACACCAGTCAGCTGGCCAACGTGAGATCTTCCACAATGACCTATGTGCGGCCAAGAAAATCTGCAATAGACTCATTGCCTTGCCAAAGGCACTGGAGTTTTCCGAGTAGCCGGAGAGCACGCGACCGAGTCATCAATCCTAGAGTTTGCTCAATCGATAACCGCACCTACCTAAACGTAACTGACTGATAGAAAGGTACATTACCTCATCGGAGAGAGAATAAATTAACATGGATAGAATAACTTGGTCTTGTTCCACCCACGTCACACGAGAAGGAGATGGAGTCGCCGGTCCTGTAGCATTAGACGTCACCGATGTAGCAACTTCAATAAGACAAGGAAGATAACCATCAACATATCCTAACAGGTTTGGACCATGCAAAAATGGTACTAACTGTGTTTGCCAAAAGAGATAATTACAGGTGGTGAGTTTGATGGAAACAAAGTGGTGAGTGGTGGACAAAGAATTATTAGCTAGCCACTGCAGGAACGTAGATGGTGGCATCGGAGACAGTCTGCTCGGAGGAAACTCCTGCAGAGTTATCTTGCATATCCGGGGAGATTCCTGCCATTAGAGAACTTGTAAAACTCATACCATATGAGAACTGTATTCTAGAATGTTAATCACAATAGAATTGTACAGACTATAAATACAAGACTTCTAGAGAAAGTCCTATTACAAGTATACCAATACATTCCTAATATTAAGAATGTCTTTTTGTGTTCTAAAAGTGTGGGATAACCTTGGGAAATTCTTCCTCTCGGTTAATGGTATCTGTCAACAAGTTAATTGACTCTCACTCTTGTTCCTGGTTTGGTCAAGTTCCCTTAGCCTAATTCAATTTTCTATTTTCTTCTGCTTTATATATTTTGCGTTCGTTCCAAATTTTATTTGATTGTTGGTTATTTTAGTCTATTGGTATTCTTGTCAAAATGATCTCTATTAATGTTAGATTTCCATAAAAAGATTTAGTACTTTGTGTTATAGAAAACATAATTTTGCGTCTATTATCAATTCTCAAGAGAACGATAATTCACTCTAAATACTCTTCAATTAGACCCTCTAAACTTTTTACTTACTCAGGATCAACAACATACCTATCTAATAAAATAATTGTTTTTCTTCTCCCAAAAGTTCAACCTTTTAGAAAGAATAAAATAATTGTTTTTCAATGATATTGCTATGACTATTTTTTGTCATTTTATTATTGGATATTTGAATTGTTCAAAAGAAAAATAAAAAAGTCCTTATTTACAATCTATTATCTTATCGACTTGTGTTAAAACAATAATAAAAGATAGAAAACTCTACATACAATTGCATATATAATACAAACCTAGCAGATAGGAAATCTAGAAAGTGGTTAATTTTTTCCTTTTATTTATGTTGTCAAAACTTTGTTTAAACGGAACTACAAACTAATATTTCAACAAATCATAATATATATGAAACAAGGACCTCTTATTCATTAGTTTTGTCATGTTTACGTGTCTACACTGCACACATGTTCCCCTTTAATTTGATTATTTAATATGTACATATACAAATCATACGTAACCCTATGTGGTACAATAAGTCATTTACCAAATCCAACGTTGTAGGCCGTTGAAATGATAACACCCTATTTAACCTATTTTCATATAATTTATTAGTATGATACTATAATTCTAATTAATTAGTTTTAAAATACTATCAACCATCACCATATATTTCTTTGTGAAAATCACTCCGTCCCTAATAAGGAGTTGATTTTTTTTTTTAATTTATTTTTAATTTATTTATTTTTGTAGTATTTGATTATTGTATGAACACCTTATGGATTTGTGATAAGATCATATCAAGCAACTAACTCACAAGTAATGAAAAATAAAGTATTACCCGCATGGGCAGCTTAATTGGTCACAGAGGTGAAATTTTGGAAGAATGACCAGCGATCGAGTCTCACCAGCGACAGTGTAGGAGCAACCTCTCAAAGTGAGGAGGGTTCTTTGTGCGCAGTGAGCACGTTCTAGCCTCTGTGGTTCATGTTCAATTGAGTTACCATGATTTTCATCCTCCCAAATGCTCTGTCAGGTTGGGATTCTTCTTTTTGAAAGAATGAAAAATAAAGTATATTTTCCTTATTAGGAGTGAACATTGGGAGTAATTTTATATAATGTACAAACCCCCCTCTCCCCCCCCACCCACCCACCCACCCACCACCCACCACACACACCTTTATTTTCCTTTTTAGTCTTATGACACATTAGGGGTGAACATCGGGAGTCATTTTATATAATGTACTAACCCTCCCCCCCACCCCCCCCCCCCCCACACACACACACACACACACATATATATATATATATATATATATATATATATATATATATATATATAGAAGAGCGCTCATATGCGGCGGGGTCTTACGGTGCGGCGGTGCGGTCAAATTTCAGAATACACTAACAGTGTTAACAATATGCACCAACAGTGTAATAAAAACACACCCCAATGAAATGTAATAAAACATCACAAAATACACTACAGACTCAAAAAAACACACCATATAACTCACCACCCCCAATGATGTATTTCCGAACAGTGTATGGTGTTTTTACTCACACCTAATGGTGTGTCTTTGGTGATGCAGGGCTCTGTTTACTCTGTTTTGTGTGGTGTATTTCCTAACGTTGATGGTGCATATTTGGTGAACTATTGGTGTTGCCGCACCGTAAGAAATAACCGCACCGTAAGACACTGCCGCACCTGAACCCGCCTCTATATATATATATATATATATGAGAGACATGAGAACGGTGCCTTAGATAATAACTATGAACTAATAGTAAGGTGTTGATTTAGGATTATTAACAATTATAAAGTAAAGAAGAAAATATGATGTCAATTTGATAAATATTTTAAATTTATAATACACCGTACAAAATTATAAAAGTGCATATGCTCTTTGTGCATGGATTGACCATAACACTAAATTGAAATTAAAGTTGTATTTCGTCTCAACAAACAAAATTTAAACTAATAGTTGGAGAATTAAAGGCTTGACTCCTCATTTATTTCCCATGTTGTTACCGTTGACACCTTTGTATGAGTAGATGCTCCCCTCAACTTGAGGGGACACGTTCAATACTCTGAACAAAGACACATGGTACTTTTTATACTAAGACACTAAGGCAATACAACTATTGTCACTCTTTCACACAGCGTTATTCTAATATTATTATTATCGGTAACATTTTTACCGTCACTATTTTCTCGTACAAAAAGCACTCCATTTTTTGTCATTCCTGATGTGACAATCCATGGTAAACTGAGATTTTAAATAAAAATGATAAGAAGATTAAAAATAAAAATAATCACACAAAAAATAACAAAAATTGTATAATTTTTATAGGATAGGAAGCATTTCCCTATATTTATAAATGTTTTTTTTATACATTAAGTTTCCCAAGAGTCCCTAGAGTAGGTGAATCAGGAGTCATCCAAATGACTTTTCAGTCAACCCCTATTATTGACTTTGCACACAAGAAATCAATCTCCACACATCCGTCAATTTAGGGAGCCTAATTTCTAATCTAGGGAGTCCATGCCAAGAGCTGGTCTAGCTACTATACTACTTGAGCTAGCCGCGCGGGCAATGTTTTTTGTTTTTTATTTTCTTCATGTTAATAATTAAAGCACAAATAATTGAACTAATTAAAATACAGAGATTACTAGCTACTAACTAACGTAAATTCAAACCTAAGTCAAGATCTAAAGATTGCTTCATCATCGTACTATGCTCCTTTGTCTTTACCGTTTTCTCTGTGTTCCTTGTCTGAGGAATCAATTGTTGTTGTTGCTGATGATGATCTTGAGCCCTGAAGTTGATCTGAGTCCCTTCATCGTAAACTGTGAAATAGCTCTGAGAAGGATCAAAACACCAGGTAGAAGAAGAAGAAGAAGAGGGGTGGTAATTGATAATATTGTAAGTAAAAGGACCAACACTGCAATTATTATTATTATTATTAATATTGTTGTGATGAGGTTGAAGATAGTATGTGAGACTGGAAGCTTTTCTTGCTTGAATCTGCAGCCTCTTCCTCTTCATCCTCTCTTTCTTGTGGGCATTTTGATGGCCTCCCAACGCCTGAGAATTCGCAAACTCCTTTAAGCAGAATTGGCACTCAAACTTCTTGGGATCATCATTGTTTTCTGCTAATTTTTGCTTGCTGGAAACTGCAGGCTTTTCTGATGAAAGAGTGGATGAAGATGAGGATGAGTTCACACTCTCATGATGATAGGCTTCTTGATGATGATGATGAGATGATGATGATGATGATGATGATGGGTTATTGGTGAGATCAAATCCAAATAGCTTCAGCTTCTTGCATGGAGGAGGAACAATAATACTGCTAAAATTTTCATCTTTTCCCATATCTTAGCTTTTTCTTGATATGAAAAATCAAAAAAAAAAAAAAAAAAAAAAAAAGAAAAAAGAAATTTATGATGGATAATACATATATGTGTGTGTGGAGTTGAATGGAATGGAATGGATGCAACATATTTATTGAACTTCTCTTCCTTTTATAGCCACACCCATGAATTTGTTTTTGACTATCCATTGCATCTTAATATTATAATAATAATAATAATAATAATAATAATAATAATAATAATAATAATAATAAAAAGGAATTTTCTGTTATGGTGATAGTCCCCAATACATGCAATTACATATATTATACTTGGTTGTATATATTGGGTACGGTAATGTTAGCTTCAAAGGCAATAATATAATACATGGATGTTACAATTACATATATCATATTTAGTTATATATATTTGCCTAGCTTATTGGTAGTTTGGTACTATCAACTTCTATTAATGGCATGGTAGAAAAATGAAAAATTTATAATACTTCATTACCCTCACTTTGAGAAGTTGCTTTCACACTGTTATTGGTGAGACTTGATCCCTGGTCATTGTTCAGAAACTTCATCTCTGTGACTAATTGAGCTGTCCATGCGTGCAATATACTAATACTAAAATTAAAAATATGCAAAATTAAGTTAAAAATAAATTCAATCAAACCTGGTTAATCGAACAAGATACGTAAAACGAGATGGATAGAATAATTGTTTTTCTGAAAAAAAAAAAGGAAAAGAAAAGAAAAAGTAATGGTGAATATTTTATGTTTAAATATTTTTTAAATTAATGTTGTTTGTAGTAGATGTACCATAAAAACTTTTCTACCAGAAAGGGGGGATTGGGTGTGTATGATTATAGATTAAAGATTAATTTATGGTCTACTAGCACTCTAACAATATTATTAAAATATTTAACTCTACCACCACTTGCTCACTTAATTAAAAACAGATACTCTATGTATACTTAATCAAGAAAAAAATGATTATTATATTATAACAGTAATTGACAAATGTCAAAGAAAGATTTTAGGATTTGGTGGGGTCTTAAACAAATCTGTCACTGTACTTAAATGCTTAATTTAAGTTTACTTTTATTGACCAATTATATAATATATTGGACTAGTGGGGGCTTATTATTTATTGTTATAATTATTCTCTACCAAAGCTATTAATATACTAATATGTGGAATTAATTATTAGGTGTGGGTGCCAAGTCCCATCTCAGTCCAGTTCCTTCAACTGTGCATGTTTGATTATTGAGCACTTAATTGAAGGTTCTTTGTAATTATCCATTACAATATCAATTAATTAATTCATTGATTAATTAGTGCTGTGCGTCCGTTGGATTGTCCGAGTTCAGTCCTTACTCAATTCGATCAAGACGTGACGTTGTGACTTACCATGGAGGGATGTTAAATGGTTAATGTCCATCTACTTATCACCAATTGGTTTAAGTAGGATATGACAACCAGATAAACAAAGAACTCTGTGGTTAAGCATTGATGGATATATTGGACCCGGATTGAGCCGACCCGGAGAGACGGACCCGAGAAGCCTCGGCCCAGTCAATTGGGCCGTGGCCGAGTCGGCCCAAGGCCCCTGCCAAGCCGGTCCACCCGAGCCCATCACCATGGACTCGGCCCCTGCCGAGCCGGTCCATGGTGGACTCGGCTAGGCCGAGCTCGGCACGTGCCCAGCTCGGCCATGCCGAGTCGGTCCGCCTTGGACCCGGTCCCGGAGGGGACGCGGTCAATGCGGACCGATCCAACTAACCCCGATCTTAGGGGTGCGGTTGGGGGGTTTGAGCTGATATAAAAAGCCTCCCTCTTGTCCTAAACAGGGACACAACACACTTATTCCTGAATTACTATCTTCTAGCATTATTGTCCTAATCAAGTCTTGTAATAGCGTATTAGCGATAATTAATACAATATTCGGTCCCTGCGACCTATGGTCCCTGCGACCTTACAATATCTCTGCGTTATATTATTTATTTCGTACGTATTCTTATTCGGGTTTAATAATTCGGGCTACCCAGGGTGAATTAAATCCATCAAGCATGTTTGGCTTATCGCAGTCACAAGTTGAGTGAATCCCTAGAAGTAAGCATAATGCAGTACTGATATCTAATAGGATATATTCTTGAACATGTTTTAATTTAGGGCAGTGCAATATCATTTTTAAAATTATGATGGAAGAGTTGTTGCTGCTAAACTAAGAAATATTAAGAAGTGGGCAATGATGTCAGTATGTATACTAAATAGTTTGTTCAGACAGATCTGGGTATATCTTCTTAGGGCAGCCATGTTTATTGTTTAGTTGCAGAAAAAAATATACTATTTTTGACTTTTTAAAATAAATATAATATTTTTCAATTAAATTTTATTTAATTTAAAAAGCAAAAAATTATTTAAAATTAAAGTTTTTTTAAAAATAAACATAATGTTGATCTTGTTGAACATATAATATACAAAACATTTTTGACCACCCGGGTGTAATCGCAGTGACCTTCTCTAAAGCAGAGTTACAGGGGTGTCATCTGAGCACAAGACACTTAGCATATAATATACAAAACATAAATGAACAGTCCAACTATCAATTAAGTCTTTTAATTGAAATTGAACCATAATTGGTTCAATTTCATATCAGAGACAATTTAATGTCAAAAGTCATTGGTTCAAATCTCCACGTAGAGCCCGTGGTGAGTAGTAGGGACAGTTATGCTGTGCATCCATATGCACCATGCATGGTGCATACGGATACAAAAACGACATTGTTTTATTAAAAACGCGCATTCCATTTAAAACAAAAAAATCAATACGTAATGCAACGGGCAAGTAAATTGGTGAAGATAATTACGATAATAAACTCGTGAATATTTAGAAAGTCATTAGTTAATAGCAATGATGATGACCTGATTATAAGTATTGAAAAACACTATAGAAATTTTTTCCAAAAAAAAAAAAAGCAATTTAAGTTGAATCAATTGGAATTTGAATTCTTTATATACAAACAAACAAAGAAAAAAAATAAGAGAGGAGGAATATAATCAATCACAGAATTCAATGTTGATAGAATTGATTTTGAATTATTCCATTGTCTATATATAATATGATAAGATAATATATATATGCATTGGTGGAAGCAAGCCCACCAATAAATCTTGCATGCTCCATTCATTCTCACCTCTTTTCTAGTCTTTTCCAATTACCTTTAATTTCTTGCTTTAGGGGAAGAATTCCAAATAGGCATGCTATCATCAACCAATTTTCTCTCTATAATTTATCCCATTTCCTTAACATGTGGAACAATTTTGTGACCCCAAATCTTGATTACAAGATATTGGATGGGTTTTAATTGGTGGTTTGGTGACTAGTGGGGTGGGTTATTTATTTAACTATTATCTCCTTCTTTTTATTGAATTTTTAATTATATATTCTTTTATGTATGATATATATTTTTTTTAGTTTGTCAACCCTTTAATTTTACTGAGAGAAATTAGTCTTTAACTCTTTGAGTTGTCACACCACAGCCATTAGCCTGCAGCAAATCTTCTATGGCGCCGGTGGGGAGTCCCAAATAGTCATTCCTCAATCCAACTTATTCCATGTTGGCAAGAAAATTCGCACCGATAGAGAGTTCTACCGGGGGTGGGGTGGGGTGGGAGTGGGAGAATTAGCTTTTAGCTCTCTAAGTTGTCACGCCAACGGCCAACCATCAACCTGTAGCAAATTAAATCTTCCATGGCCAACGGTGGGGAGGTCCAAATGGTCGTTCCCAGCCTAATCCATCCCCAATTTGTCCAATGTTGACAAGAAAATCCATAGGCTTGTTCCCTTGTTTTATATATAATATAGTATTAAATAAATTTGTGTAACCTTCTCCCATCATTGGATAAGAGGATTATAAACAAGACTTAAGTTTATGCGCATGAATGCATCCAATGTATTTTACTTTTTCTCTTGTGAACCAAATCTTATAAGAAGCTCAATATATCTATTAAAACAATTAATTTTGGACAAAATTGACTAAACATTACAGGAATATTCAATCCATTTGAACTTTAAAAAGAAAAGCAGGCCAAATTGAATTACATTATTTCAAATGTTGGGAAAGTCAATAAGGAATGTTTAATAACCACAGACCTCAGTGGTGCTTGTATACACTTGTCGCAAAATAAGATGAGCCATTCAACCACAAATTAGTAATTCGGTTCAAAAGTTGTTTAGCAAGTAAAAACAAGTCAAGAATCATTCTTTAATTAGAAAGGTGGGTATTAAAAGCAGTTGTTATATTATAGACCGCGGTGCATAATCGATTATGCACCGCGGCCCATATACGGCGCCGTTTCTTTAAGTAAAGAAACAGCCCGCCGTTAGAGTTAACGGAGTCCGTTTGTTTGGTGTATTAAACACCAACTGACACTACAGTATATTCAAACCGACACTGCAGTTATATCAAAATGATACTGTAGTTATAGTGAAATGAAACTGCAGTGTATATAAACTGAAACTGAATAACATTTCACATATTTGAGTGTATATACAATGAAGCTGTAATTATATCAAAATGATCATGTAGTTGTGTTTTAATAAAACTATAGTGTATATAAAATAAAATTAAATAACATTTTCACATATTTGAGTCTATAAATATCGAATGAAACTATAGTTATATCGAAATGAAACTGTAGTTGTGTTCAACTGAAACTGCAGTGTATACAAAATGACACTGAATAACAGAGTTACTTTTTGCAAAAGGGTGCGAAACGGCGGAAATAAACACTGTTAATTTTCATTTAAAAAAAAAGACGCGCGGTGCATAATCGATTATGCACCGCGGTGCATAATATAATTTGCCTATTAAACGAGGCTATCATTATCTTGCCAACACTTTGCTTTTAATTGGGTCGGGCCGTTGCGAATGGGATTAATCTGAATATGGTACGAGTTTAAAAGTGTCTCTTACAGTTAGGGCCTGCTCAGGACACCTCATGGTCTAACCAAAAAAAAAAAAAAAAAAAAAAAAAAAAAAGCTATCATTAAGTGTGTTAATTAATTGAAGCATGTGCTCCATCTCAACTAAAAGCTTAAACTAAATTACATGCTCAACGCGCCCCCCTCACGTGTGCGGCCG